GAGTGTCAATGGTCCATTTGAGAGATAGGTGGCGGTAATGCACTTATAAGTCTGCAAGAAGAAGAAGACGCGAACGCGCTCAGGATTGCGCCTGACATTGCAGTGAATCAGAGGTAAAAAACGATATAAATACTGTTAAGTTTCTTGCACAGACCGATCGTTTCGTGTCTTTACACATCAATGTATCGTCACAAGCCGCAGGGTTTAATTTGGTTTTGTTAGTGTATGTTTTTTTGACTCCCAAAGCCGTGATTCCCATTCCCTTCCATTATATGACTGACAGACTGCAACGGTTTGAGTTAAATATCTTCATATGTGTTCTACTGAAGAAACAAAGTCACCTACATCTTGGATGCCCTGGGGGTAAACAACAGATAAACATCACATTTTCACTTTAACCATTTTTGAGGATTTTTTAATGAATGAATTCATCTAATCTAATTAATCTATTTATTTATTTAACATTTGGTAATTTTTGTACTTTTTGGGGACTTTATTACATTTTTTATGCAATCTTTTTGTCAAATTGTTTTCTTTCAGTTAGCACAAATTTAGCATTTCTTGTTGGAACTGGTTGATCGTAGGCCTCATTGATTTGAGCCCATGCGCCTCAGTTTTTGAGTGAACGAAGCATTATTTGTGGATAATTTTGACAATATTCACTCAAAATCTGATATAAATGAGACCCATGATCAACCAGTTCCAAAAAAAAAAAAAAAAGACCAGTTTTTTAAAAATTACTAGTAAATCTCCCATTATATGATATTATCACCAGATCTTGGATTCAGTCTTTTTGAAAAATGAAATGCTATGACATTGGAAACCTAGTATCTTGCTCACACATGGTTTAACAACCAACCAATTTTTTTGTTTTTTTTTGATAATTTTTGTACTTTTGGGGAATTTAATTTCCAATTTTTTTATTCAATCTTTTTGTCAAATAGTTTTCTTTAAATTAGCACAAATGTAGCATTTCTTGTTGGAACTGGTTGATCACTGATTTGAGCCCATGCACCTCAGTTTTTGAGTGAACGAAGCATTATTATATGAGGATTGTTCTCCAGAAACTGGCCTGTGCTCGTGGTAGGCTGCCGATCCGTTGGCGTCTCTGTGTTTGTCCTCGTCTTCGGCGAGCTCCGCTCCCAGAGCCATCTTCTGCCAATCCTTCCTGCGGTCGTGAGGCGCTCGCGGGATCTTCTCCAGATCGTGAGGACGGTCCATGTTCTTCTGCTGGAAGAACACACACACACACACAGTTAGTCTGGTCTCTCTCTACTGTGAAGCAGAAGCAGGTTTAGCAGCACGAGGAGAATCACAGCCAGAGAAGAAACCAGGTCTGTTCATATTTCACTCATAAGATCTGACATATCAGGAGATATATGAACATAATCACACAAACACACACTCAGACTGTCATAAAATCAGTCAAATCTGTTGCTTGATTTTGTCTATATGTTTATACATATGTGTGTGTGTATTTGTGTGCACATTTTTTCTGTTTTGTTATATAGTTGTTTTTGCCATTAATGTTTATTTTTAGATCTTCCATTTTCATTTTATTTTTCATTTACATCTGATTTATTTTACCTCCAATTTAATGAATTATTATAATTTTTGCATTTTTCCTGCTGATTACAGCATCCACAACACTTAGAAGACTGAAAAT